ACTACTACTACTACTACTACTACTACTACTACTACTACTACTACTACTACTACTTCTACTACTACTACTACTACTACTACTACTACTACTACTACTACTACTACTACTACTACTACTACTACTACTACTACTACTACTACTACTACTACTACTACTACTACTACTACTACTACTACTACTACTACTACTACTACTACTACTACTACTACTACTACTACTACTACTACTACTACTACTACTACTACTACTACTACTACTACTACTACTATTCTTATTAGTGATACTCGTATGGTTATGAGTACTAGTACTATTACTCGTATCGTTATAATCATCCTTACTGTTACTGGTAACAATATCATACGTATGAATGTTTGTTCTCCTCCTACTCCTCCTCCTCCTCCTCCTCCTCCTCCTCCTCTCCTCCCTCCTCCTCCTCCCTCTCTCCTCCTCTTCATCATCCTCCTCATTCTCCTGCTCCTCCTCTTCCTCCTCCTCCTCCTTCGACCTCCCTCTTATTCTCCTCCTCTCCTCCTCCTCCTCCTCCTCCTCCTCCTGCTCCTCCTCCTCCTCCTCCTGCTCCCCTCCTCCTCCTCCTCCTCCTCCTCCTCCTCCTCCTCCTCCTCCAACTCCTCCTCCTCCTCCTCATCCTCCTCCTCCTCCTCCTCCTCCTCCTCCTCCCCCTCCTCCTCCCCCTCCCCCTCCTCCTCCTCCCTGCAGCGCGCAGCACGCTCTGCCGCCGCGAACCCTCCCGAAGCTGCCGCCCGAGGCGCTGCTGCACGATGCCGCCCAGAGCGCGGCACCGGCGGCGCCCCCCTCGCCGCAGGGTACTGGCGCCCACGCATACTCGCGTCGTGAAAAAAATCACGACGGAAGCTTTCTGGCCGCTTACAGCCTCCGGGGGCTCTCGCCGGGCCCCGGCACCGTCAAGAAAAACGACTCTGCATGAAGAACTGGCCCGGGGAAAGGGTCGGGACTTGCGTGTGCCCCGTGTTGGCAAAACCAAACATCGGATGCGTCTGGACTAGGCTCCACGTCACACCCACAGCCTGAGAGGAACGATAGGGGGCTGGCTCAGGGGGAAGCCGTCGACCTGCAATCGGCGATACATCGCCAACAGATCGGCGATTGGCACCAGATAGCGAATCCGCACGGTTCTAAGCAGGGTGGGCTATCGGGTCCCTACTGGCGATGAATGGGCGATTGGGCGTCGATGCACCCCACCCTGAGCATATCCCCCCCTAACGTTGCCCCTGACAACCATGCCCGTGCACGCGCACACCCTTCGCCCATTTCCCCAAGGCGAGCTCGCGCGCGGCATCGAGCCGGAGTACAGCCGCGCTGGCGCAGGGATGCAGCTGGCCCATGCGAAGGGGGAACGACTGAGGGGGACCTGCTCAAGGAGGGAAGCAGCGAGAGGGAATCGGAGATACATCGCCGATAGATCGGCGATGGGCACAGTTGGCAAATCCGAACGTTCCTGGGCGCGGTGTGCCATCGGGCCCCTCCTGGCGACCAATGGGCGATGGGGGGTCGATGCGTCCCCCCTGAGCAAGTTTCCCCCCCCAACGTTACCCCCTCCTTTCGGGCCATCACCCGGCTCTCTGGCGGCCGCTCGGGGCGATCCGGGCACCCCCCGGACGCCTCTCGGCGAGGCGCCGCTGCCGGAAAGCCTGCCGAGGCTGGCAAACCTCCAGGAAATCGACGACAACGCCCGAAAATACCGAAGCTGCCCACGCCTCTCCAGACAGGCCACCCTGGAACGGCCCGCTCCGCGCGGCTCGCCGCGCCTCGGCACGCGCCTCGGCACGCGCCTCGGCTCGCCTCGGCTCGACGAGGCTCGGCGAGGCTGGCTGGGTGGCCCGCTGCTGCGACGGCGCCGCGGCGTACGCCGGCGGCGCGGGCGGCGCGGGCGGGGGCGCCGGCGCCGGCGCGGGCGCCCAAGACCCGGCAATGGGCGCCACGCCGGACGCAGCGGCAGGCGCGGCGGGCGCGGCGGCGGGCGCGGCGGCGGGCGCGGCGGCGGGCGCGGCCGGCTCCGTGAGCCGCTGCGCCTCGCGGGGGCGCGCGGCATCCCCCCCGCAGGAGCCTCGCGGATCGAGGACCTCGAGGATCGAGTTTCGAGGCTCGAGGCTCCTGGAGCGTTCCGGGGCCCTCCCTGGACCTCGAGATGCTTCCAGAGGCCTCCCGAGGCCTCCGTGGGACCTCTAGGCCTCAGTGGGCATCCACGACTGCCGAGGAGCGGTGGATGTACGCAGCGGTGGATGCGGACGCCTTCCCGCCATTGAGGGCTCCCAGGCGTCCACATCCGCTGCTCCCCGAGGTGGCGCACGACTCCGAAGCGGTGGATGTGGTGTGGATCTTGTGGGGCTGCGGAGGCCCGCCACCGCCAGCGCCTGCGCCGCGAGGATCCCCAGATCTCCAGCGGCTCGGCCGAGGTCGAGGCGGCTGGCTTTTGCTCGCAGTGTGAGCCTGTCGACTCGTCGCTCGTTCCCTGTCGCCTCGTCGTTCGCTCCCGAGCCTCGCTCGGCCAGGCATCCCCTCCCCAAGGTCGCCTCGTCGCTCGCCCCCCCCCTCCCCCGACGCTCGTGCCCTCGCCGTGGTCGTCGTCCTCCGAATCTGGCCACCGCCAGGGATGGCAATGCCGTGGGATCCGACGCATGCTCCGACTCGATCCTGCAGGCCTGAGCGTGTGCGGCGGCTGGGCACCGGAGTCGTGAAGGCCCCTCGGGCTGCGGGGTGGGGCTCCCCGCCAGCACGCGAGCCTCTGGGGGGCCAGCTTCGGGCCCCTGGGAACCTCAAAAAACGGCCCGGGCTGAAAACGGCTCTGGGGAGGGAGTCGAGGCTGTCCGAAATCACAGCGGCCCTCGTCCCAACGTTTTGACCGTAGGGCCGCAGCGTGAACCAGGGCGAGGATGTGGGCTGTGACGGCGAGAATGACGGTGAGCACGAGCCAAAGTTTTAGCTGCAGGCTGCCGACTGTCCTGCGAAACCCAGGCTTCAAGCTGCAGAATCATCCGAAACATCATCAGCCGTGTCCTCTTTCCGAAGGAGTACACGCGAATAACTTTCCCGCGTGCGTTTTGATATTGTACAACGCCCAACCCCTTTTACCCTGTCGGAAATGTCTACGACATGCTCTATTGTCAAACCGATGTCCTCGGAAACGCTTTCCAGCTGCTCCATGTGGCGGAGCTCAAACAGGTCAGAGATCACAATCATGCCACCTGGTCGTAAAACATGCTTGGCACCAGCGAGAAACAGAGCGAAGTGTTCGAGCTCCATTTGAGTAATGACCTCAATGCACAGAACGATGTCGAACATTGCTGACCGATGCGTCTTGTGAAGGGCGGCAGCGTCTGCAGTCCTGTAGTAGACGGGGCTGTCAGAGTGGAGCCGCACACAGTCCGCGATGCAGGCGCCATCGATGTCGGTGGCCACGTAATCCGCCGCCAGCGCTGTGCCGATTGATGGTGCCTGCCAGGCCCATGGCTTGTTACTGCTTGTGCGCCCTGCGAACCTATAGTTGTCTACACACGAGCACACACACACTTATTTCGTCGGTGGCTACGCAGAGTGACTGCGCTGGAAAGGAGGCCTTGGAAGATGAACGAACACGAATTCGGCCACCATGCAAGAGGGGGGAGGGAGGAGGCGCTCGGCGACAGCAGGAGCATCTTCACACACACACACACACACACACACTCGCACGCACGCACGCAAGCACGCAAGCGCGCGCGCACATACTGACACACACACACACACACACAAACACACACACACACACATGGTAAACTCGTTGAGAAGAATGTGAGGCAATTCGTGCCAGCAAGACCCATCAAACATTGGCATGCTAAAACTGGACCCCGTGCGACCTGCAATTGCCTTTAACTGTGCTGGAGGAAATTGCATGCCATGCGCTGCTTTGCATTACATTGCAGTTGAAACCCCATTGCAAGGCAAAGCAAAGCTGTGCGCTAGGCCAATATCGCAGCATCCATACAACAAAAAGCCACAGCACAGCATACAATGACACAGAATAGCATAGCACGCCATTAGCATAGCATTGCATCAGCTTGATCGACTCACAGCACAGCACGGAGCTGAGCGGAACCTAGCATATCATGTGCATAGCACTGGCATTGCATAGCCTGGCACAACATTAGCATAACACATCATGGTATGAGTATCGCATATCACTTTCATGCCGTAGCGTAGCATTGGCATAGCATGGCGTAGCATTGCATTTGCACCAAGCACCAGGAACTGACGCGAAGGACACAAGGGACCAGCCTGAACAAGATACCAAAAGCGTCGTGGTGGACGTGCGCGGCAGCGCGAATGGATTGCGCGTGCCGCAAACTTCGGCGAGGTAACGTGCACCGCCGCCACGGTGACATCCAACTTCAAGAACATCTCGATCTCGAAAAAAGTTTGCATCAAAGTTTCCCGAACCGTCCGTCGTGGCTGCATGCCAATACATCGCCGCGCCGTACAATTGCTGGTGAAAAGGCCGCGATCCCTTTTCCATGCCAGCCCGCACCAAGAGCTCGTGCTGGGGAAGCTGTTTACCTAAATCAACCCCACAGTTCATTATATCGGCACTACCCGAACTGGGTGCTTTATCAAAAAAGCCACCGAAGAAATAACGATGCTTCGTCACACTCGACAAGATGGGTGGGGAACGTCTCGCACGCGAGCGAGTGGTCAAGACTAGGCCCACATTCTTACATAGCTTGGGCACTCTGCCAATCGACATGTCGACAAAATAGCCATGCATTGGCTTTGAACGCCTCGAGCACAAAAGGCTTCGGAAAGCGAGGGTGAGACCGAGACGGAGGCGGATGAGGGTAGGGGGGGTTATGCCACTCCGGCCGACATCGTAAACGAATCCGACCAGAAACAAAAGGTGTAGCTACTCTGACCCAGAACTTTTGGACTTGCGCAGTGTGGCAGACTGCACACGTAGCTTGCAGGAGCAATACAAGCTGTGCGCTTTGCGGAGGAGGGGAAGGAAGAGCCAAGGTGACACGTTGGCAGGAGAGTATGAGCAGGCAAGGGTGCGAGACTGGTTTCTTACACATTCCGCACTACTAGCGGAGCAGTGGGGACGGAACGAAGGCTGGCCAACAGCGAGTGCCGCGAGTCGCCCACGTGGTCTGACATGGCAGCACACGCAAACCAGGGTAATCATCCTACACGTCTTGTTTCAAAGTGCGCACCGAAGCAGACGCTCGTCGACGCCGAAGAACTTGAAGATGCAGCGAGGTCCAGAACTTTTCATTGCGAGAAGGGGGCGCGGTGCCGGAAGCAGTGGTTCCAGCATTGCTCGGGCGTGGCGCGTGCTCCCCGTGGGCCCCGGGGAACGTTCCCGCATGACTGCTTGGGGGCCTCCTCCTCCTCCTCCTCCTCCTCCTCCTCCTCCTCCTCCTCCTCCTCCTCCTCCTCTCCTCCTCCTCCCCTCCGCCTTCGCCTCCTCCTCCTCCTCCTCCTCCTCCTCCTCCTCCTCCTCCTCCTCCGCCTCCTCCCCTCCTCCTCCTCCTCCTCCCCCATGAGCTCGCCGAGAAGGGCCAAGGGTGCCCCGAATCGCTACACGATCGGTCCAAGACGCGCAAAGTGGCCTGGCCTTCGAGACGCCCTAAGGCAGCCCCAAGAGCCTTCCCAAGAGGGCACCGGGAGGCCAAAGCCGTGTGTTTGCTGGGCTTGGTTAAATGATTTGGGCGTTCTCGCCTGTTCGGCTTCCCGACGCTCCAAGACGGCCCAAGAGGCCCCCAAGATCGCCCCAAGAAGGCCCAAGAGGCATGCCCGCACCAGTGCCGCCACCGAGGGAGTGGCACATCTGGAATCCTTGGAAGCAGTCGCAACCTTCGGCTTCTTTGCGGACCACGTCGAAAACGCTGTCGATCAGCTCCGCCCCCTCAGTGTAGCGCCCCTTCGCCCAATTGTTGCCCGCACCTGTTTGGCCGAAGATCATGAAAGAATTAACGATGACTATGGCCAATCCCAGAGGAAACCAAGCCAACGAGGTAGCTGAAGATGTGGATCAACAGCCCCTTGCCGAAGGACATTGTGAAGATATACATATATATATGATATCTTGCCAGAAAGTGAAGCCGAAGATGCACGGTGATCGTCAGCCTTGCCCAAAACATGTGTGAAGCCGAAGATGTAGTATGGAGATCGTCAGCTGCTTTCCCAAAACACGTGCGAAGCCGAAGATGTATGGAAATCGTCAGCTTCTTGCCAAAAACGGTGAAGATGATATATGACATCTTGCCAGAAAGTGAAGCCGAAGATGTATGGAGACCGTCAGCCTCTTGCCAAAAACAAGTCTGAAGCCGAAGATGTTTGGCCGAAGACAAAATTGTCTGGGCGGAAGAGCTGGCCGAACGGCCCTGCTCGGACGCTGTCCATGGTGCTGGGCTCCAGGTCCATCAGCACCGCGCGTGGAACGTAGCGACCTCCGGTCGCCTCGTTGTAGTACACATTGATGCGCTCCAGCTGGAGGTCGGAGTCTCCGTGATAGGTTCCGGTGGGGTCGATGCCGTGCTCGTCGGAGATGACCTCGGCGGGGGCGAGAAAGGTCTCTGTAGACCACCCCTCCGGCACAGCTAACATGAACCACCACCTAGCGACCTTAGGCACTATCCTGCACCCGACGGAGGGCTTGCTCGTAAGGGTCCCGCGAGCCACACCCGCAGGTTCCTCCGTCTGGGTTTCCTCACGACACTGGGATGACACTATATCTGGCGAACTGCAGGTGGGCTGAGGGTTCTGGCACCGGTGCACTCCCACCACTAGATTGTGCGGACCTCCCTCGGCTTGCGCGGAGGGGCAGAACGCCGAGACCCCAGTGCCGCTGTCATTGCGTGCAGGGTTACCTCCAGCCGCTACACAGTGAACACGAAAGCCGCGCCGGTATGGCATACCTAGGTTTACCACCTTGTGTGGAAGGCGCTGGACAAGCTGCCACGTGAGCCACTTATGGACTCCCTGCCCGGACACCCGAGTCTCAGCTTCAGTCGCTGCCATCCCGAAGGACCGCACGCTTCACAGATCACCACTTTGGGGTAGCTTCGGAGATGACCTCGGCGGGGGCGCGAAAGGTCTCTGTAGACCACCCCTCTGGCACAGCTAACATGAACCACCACCTAACGAGCTCGCGCATGGCTCCGAGAGCTGCCGAGAGCTGCAGCGACAGGACAACGCTGCGGAGGACAGAGTTATGCTCGAACCCGCGTGGCTTGAGCCAAAATGGATACGGGCGCCATGTTGGGCCATCTTGGAACCCGCGCTTTTGGGCCGTCTTGGAGCCCTCTTGGACATCTCCGGTGCCCTCCCGTCGCCCCTCTTCCCCTCTTTTGACGCGTTCTGGCGCTCCCTGACGGGTCCAAAACGGCCGTGTACAAAACAGTGCTCCCCTGGGCCCCCGGGAGCACCTACGCATGTATATACATATAATAGACAGATAGAATATACATATATATGAATATATGTATACACGCACACATCTATATGTATGTACATATAGATATATACATACAGATATGTACGTCTAGATGTACATATATAAATATTTATGCAGACATATGTTGACATATACATACATACATACATACATACATACATACATACATACATACAAACACATGTCCGATGCATATGCATATGCATATACATATACACACGTATACATACATGTATGCATGTATACATACACATACACAAATACATATACATATACATATACAGAAGCACGAACATGAACATAAACATATGCAAGGACTCATACATGGCAAGCACATAGAAATAGATACGTACACATACATAAGCATACAACTATACATATACAAATTCAGTGAATATAAATATATATATATATAAATACATACGTGCATATATATATATATATATATACATATACATAGACATATACATACACATGTATGCGTACACATGTATACATGTATGCAAAGCATACAAATACACACACATATATATATATATGTATGTACATATTCATATAGATATACACGAACACATGCATATACAAGATACAAATATACACACCTATACAAATACACATGCATATACATATGCATGTCTATACCTATACCTGTACACTTACACATGTACATATACATATCTATATATAATATACATGTAGACATACGTATACGTACACACATACATACACCTATAAATATACGGCTGCACTTGCAGATGCAAATACATAGAAATACATATATATATATATATATATATACATCTACGAATACAAATACTTATACATAGGCGTGTACGTAAGCATAGACATATACGTATACAAGATCATATACACATCTAACTGAGAACACAGATGCATCTACATGAACATAGACACAGACATACACATATACATATACGTATACATAGACACGTACAAATACATACACAACTATGTATACATATACGTATATCTTTACACATATATATGTTATCAGGTACGTCAAATACATACGCATAGACATATACGTATACAAATATACATATACGTATACATATGCAAATATAAATGAACATGTACAGATGCATCTACAAATGAATAGACATGTGCATGCGCATATACATTTACGTATGCAGATACGTATCTATATACACCCATACACATATACATATACATATACATACACAGATACACAGACCTATGCACATATACATAAACAGATACGTGGCATCTATATACATAGATATTAGCTTGTACATATACATACACATGTCCACATACACATGCATGTATATACACATACCTAAACATGCACAGATACATACACATATACATATAAATTTACAAATGCATGTACCTATACATATACATATACGTACACCTGTGAGCACAGCGCACACATGTATGAATACATATGCATACACATATGCATAGACAAGTACATACACGCACACAAACACATACACATGTACATATGCTGTACACATGCATAAACATATACGTATGTACATAATATATATATATATATACATGCACACATATACATGTATTTTCAATTACGTCACTTATACCTATATATATGATACCAGAGATAGTCCCGATCCGATATTTTAAGGCTATGGGGCGATGGGGTTGTAGGGCCATAGGGCTATAGGGCTATAAGGCTATGGGGCTATATGGCTATAGGGCTATTGGGCTGTTGGGCTACAGGGCTATTGGGCTATAAGGCTATAAGGCTACAGGGCTATGGGGCTATAGGGCTAGTGGGCTGTGTGGGGTATAAGGCTATTAGGGCCATAGGGCGATAGGGCTGTAGGGCTACAAGGCTATAGGGCTATAAGGCTATGAGGCTATGGGGCTATAGAGCTATAGGGCTACCGGGCACCCGGGCACCCGGGCCCGCCGTCGAAATCGGAGGCACACCACACCTAACCACATGAATCCGCTAGGACCCCTACAGAGGCAAGCTCTGACTTGGGAATATCGAGCGGTACATATGCATATACATAGGCATGTACATGTACACGTACATATACACATATATCTATATATATATATATATACATGTACATTTACATTCACATAAACATAAACATCAACATAAACATTAACATAAACATAAACATAGACATACACTGTCATACCTATACACTCTCATATACAAAAATTGGATACCGAAACCATGACTTCTTGCCGCCTGGATGTGCAATATGTGTGACGCAAGCTGTGTGGTGCAAGCTGCGTGATGTCAGGCATGAGGTGCAGGATACCTGGTGCAAGCTATATGGTGCAGACTGAGTGCTACAAGCTGTGTGGCGCAAGTTATGTTGTGCAAACTAAATGGTCCAAGCCAGTTGGTGCAAGCTGTGTGGTGCAAAACTGTGCGGTGCAAGCAGTGCTGTGCAAGCTGAATAGTGCAAGCCAGGATGTGGAAGCCATGCAGTGCAAGCTGCGCGGCACAAGCTCTGCGGCGCGAGCCAGCGGCTAAGTGGTACAAGCTTTGCGGCACAGGCTATGTGGCGCCCACGGGGCGCCCACGTGCGGCTGCGGGGCGCAGTCCCAGAGAACCCAAACCAGCGCACGAGGCGCCCGAGAGGCGCCCACGGGGGGCGACGGGGCGAAGGTCCGAACTCCGAGCTGGCGTGCGAGGCGCCCAGCGAGGCGCTCACGGGCCGGGACGGGGCGACAACCCTGCACTTCCACCCAATCACTTACGGCTCGAAATAACAACTCCTACAGTCGGGCTCGATTGGAGAGGACACGCGAGAGGACACAAGACCCTTCCAAGGGCCACATCGCCATAGGAGTGTACGATGGCACGCGTCGCGAGGCACAGGACACAAAGGTACCCTTGAGCTGGCAGGGTCGACCTACTAATCCGGGCCGACTGTAGGTGCAAGCGCTGTTTTGGCGCCCATTCTCCTCACAGAAGCAAAACGCACTCTGCCACCCCTCCCCCCCAGAAGTATCGATCACCCCTGGGGCACTGCGAATTACATAGGATCCTGCAGCGCTGTTCATTGTCCATTTGCATTTGTCTCATTTCAGGCAAGCTGGGCATCGCCCCCTCATCGTCAAATAATACTGTGCGCGCACACCCATTTATCGAGAAAAACATGTCCCAAGAATCGATCGCACAGAAACTGCACAAAGTCCGCAAGCGCGCACATGCCAAAAATATGCCAAACACACTAATTGTGCAAGGATTCCAGAATAACACCAACATCAAAAAACTAATTCGTCTCGTCACAATGTTTGAAGATTCCATGCCCGCGCGCACTTGCTGAAATAATAGGAAGACCATATGGCGTTAGCAATCTCGCCCAAAACCCACATTATCATCCCATGACGCGGTGCATCCGCGTTGGTCCAAAATGTGCCCAGTGTGCAAACCCGAATCAAATCCGCCAGCCCCCTTGTGGAGCCACCAGGCTGTAGAACGAGGTTGCTGCTCCCTGCACCATTTACAATTTCAAGTCTCCAATGTTACAATCATGTTTCCTGCTTCCTATTGTACATTGCTAAAGTCCGCGCGAAGGGGGGGAGCCCCAAACCAGCAATTTACCACGCCCAAATCGCGTTCTCTGAATTCCCGGGGGGCGTTGGACATGTAAAAATACATGAGATTCGCGCCCCCGAAACCACAACCCTAGTAAATTACGCAATGGTCCCATCCCCGAGGCCGCAAACCCTTGTAAATTACAATGGTTGTGCCCCCATGAGGCAACAAACCCGGATAAGTTACGCAAGATTCGCGTCCCCGAAACCATACTCCTTCGTCAATTACACCAGATTCGCGTCCCCGAGTCTACAAACCCATACAAATTACATACGTATGTTCTGAATCCCCGAGGTAACAAGCCTTTTGCACATTACACAATAGTCGCGTTCCCGAGGCCATAAACCCTTACAAAGTACACCATATTCGCATTGCCGATGCCCCAAGGCGCCCGAAGATGGTTCCAAGGCGGCCCAAGAGGGCCCCAAGAGGCCCCAAGAGCGCTCCAAGAGCCCTCCCGATAGAGCCCCAAGAGGCCAAAGTCTTTGATGTTACAAAAATGTGTTTGAAGCATTCTCGCATTTCGACTTTCCGACGCTGTAAGACGGCTCAAGAAGCTCCCAAGACCGCCCCAAGGCAGTCCAAGACGTGTCCAACAAGGCCCCAAGACGGCCCAAGAGGGCTCCATGATGGCCCAAGAAGCGCTCCGAGAAGCCCCGAAAAGCCCCCAGGAGGCCCCAGGAGGCCGCCAAGAGGCGCCAGGAGGCCCCAAGAGGCGTCCAAGACGCGCCCAGGAGGCCTCCAAGAGGCCCAGAAGATACCCCACGAGGCCCCAAGAGGCCCCCGAGAGGCGCCCAAACCGCCTCCAAGACGCCCCCTGTGAGGCTCCCACGACGCCCCAACACGTATACAAAGAGGCCTCAGACCCACAACTCAGCCACGGCGGCGGGGTGGGCCGAAGGCCACTAGGATAACGCCAACGTCGCACTATGCGCTCGTGATTCCTGTCCGCCCCCGCATGACGTTCCAGATGCGCCGAGGCAGCGCCGAGGCGCACCGAGGCGACTCTGATGTATCCCATTATGCTAAAGAGGGGCCGGAGGCAGGGGGCGAAGCCCACACGGATAACACCATGCAGGCCACACACGCGCGCCGCCACGCGAGCGTGTCGAGATCATTCAAGAACCATTGAGTTTCAAAGTTTTTCAGATACAACTTTTCAGGCAAGAAAAATGTTTGTCAGCAAAACTGTGCCAAGGTTTCTGGATTTCTGCGCGCGCGCACTTCCTCAGCATCACCCTCATCAACGCCACCGCATCAAGTCATCGTCGTCCCGGCAGTTGCCGCAATCACCAGTCAAGCACCTTCATCGTCGGCACGTGGACATCATCATCGTCATCGACGTTATCCGCATCGGCGCCGTCATTGGCTTCACCGTCGTCATCCTCTTCATCACCACCACCATCTCTAGTATTAATCATGACATCGCGCCCGCCCGAGCCACCGACCCGCTTTGAAATGCCCGAACGCCGGCGCGGCCGTTGACACGCGCTGGGACGTCGCCATCGGTTTGCGCCAACGCGGCCGCATCAGTTGGGCCAAACCAGCTGGCCGCTCTGCGCGCGAGCTTGCGCGCGCCAGCGCGGCCGCAGAGATGCGCCAACCATAGCCAAGCTGTCATCGGAATCGTCACCGCATAGTTTTCCAAACAATGTAGCAGATGGGAGGGTGGATGATTGCGCCGTGCTGTCGCAAAAACTCTATGCAAAAAAGGGGGGCGAAGTGCACACGCGCGCGTCGTCGCGCGCGCATACCGAAATCTCTGAAGAACCTTGGGTGCCGTAAGGGTTTCAATATCGAGTGTCCAAAAAATATTTAAAACACACTGCTGTGTAACATCGTTGTTTATTGCCTTTGCGAGGTTTTCCAACATTGTCATCAAATTCTGCCAAGCGGGCCTCTCGCGCCGCATGCCGAACTCATCCAAACGCCCTTGCGCGCGCTGGGGGGGGCACGATCCGTGCCAAGTAATACCTCGCGCGCCACTCGCGCACGTCGGCCGCGCGCGCATGTCGAACTTTTACCAAAACCTTCATCACCAACCGAGGACATCGTCATCTCTATCGGCGGGCGTGATCAACATCGGCGCAATCAATTGGCCTCGCCTTCGTCGTCGCCACCATCGCCACCATCATCCCTACTCTCAGCATCGTGTCTACCGTTGTCGGTGTCACCATGCCCGCCCAAATCACCGACTCGCACTGAAGTGCCCGTTGGGAAGCGCCCAGCGGCCAGCGCCGCCGCGGCCGCGTCGGTCGCGCCGCACTAGGTGGCCGTTGCGCGCGCGAGCATGCGCGGGCTAGCGCGGCCGCAGAGATGCACCAGCCAACGCCAAGCACTCATCGCAATCGCTGTCACATGGGTTTTGCAAACCAACGTGCGGACGGGTGGTTGGGATGATTACGCGAGCAGTGGAGTTGACAACCCACTGCGAGCATTGGTGATTTGCACCACGTAGCTTGCACCACACAGCTTGCACTACATACCTTGCACCACATAGCTTGCACCTCAGAGCTTGCACCTCACAGTCTGCATCGCATGGCGACATCACTACTGCAGGTTGTGCTCGTTTTGGCACCATGGCTGTGTGCCGCTGCAATGGCAGCGGCACTGGGGCCTCCAGCGTTCCCAATGCGTTGCGAGCTTGTAAACCAGTCCCTGGAGCTCCTGGATCTCTGGACAAAAACCTTTTGGTTTCAACGACAACACTTAAGTTGCTGGCTGCCCGAGGTGGTCCAAGCAAGAGTCACTGGGCACTACTGAACGCGTCACCCAAATCATTGACCCTGGCCGACTAGACGTGACCTCCAAACAGCTGTGTCACGGAATCGGTGCGCCAATTTTGGGAGAAATGCCAGGGATCTCCAGATAATCCTTGCGACGGCACCTCCAGGTGTCCTGGCCCTCAAGGCAAATGCGGTGGCACCAGCCGTCCCAAGGCCACACGGAGCTCCCGGTCCGCCAGGCGCTCGTGGAGGCGCTGCACCCCCCCTCCCGCCACGCCACCTCACCAGACATCCGATGTTTGAACGTTTCAATGCAGGGTCCCCAGAACTCCTCGCCCTTTCCCCAGGACTGGCTTCTCATCCCGAGTTTTTTTTTTCGGTCCTGGAGCCCAGTGAAGACCCCTGGAGGCCGAAAACGGCTAAAAACCTTCTGTTGTGACGTTCTGCACGATGCCATCATGTCTGGCCCCCCTCCCTCGGACCAACGTGCCGGTGACCTTTGTCAAGGGTGGCCTTTGGTACGCTGCTGCTTGGGGGAGGGCGCCCCGCCAGAAGCAGCCTTCTGGGCGCCGTCGGCAATGCCAGAGGGTGCGCCCGGACGCCCCGTTCGGCCCAGCACCAGAGGGCCACGCCGGCGAAACGGCGCCCCCTACTGGGGGCAAAGAGGCACCGATGCCAGACCTCTCCTGGGGTGCATTCTGACCAGAGTTTCGGGGCGGACCCAGCCGTGGCGACGATGAGAGGGCAGCGGTGTCGGCATCTCCTCCTCCGTTCAGCGCCACGCATCGCCGACGCCCTCCTCTGGCGCCTCTGCAGCGGGGGCGCCCCCCGAGGCCCCGAGGGCACCGCCTGGCGCCCCCGCGACGCCGGCGAGGGCGGGGGAGACGGCGCCCCGCGAGCGGGAGCCCTGCCCGGCGGCGGCGGCTGCGCCTGGGGCTGCTGCCTCGGCCGCACGGCCGCGGCGCGGCAGCGGGCGCGCCGACCAGGCCCGCCGACCCGGTGCGCTGTCGCGCGCCTGTGGGCGCTGCGCCCCCCGCCGGAGCCCAGGTGCCCCCTGACTGGGGAGACCTAGAGGTACCGATCCCGCCACTCCCCGGACCTCTCCTGGGGAGCGAGCGCTCCGACCAGAGTTTCGGGGCGAATCCGGCCGTGGCGACGAGGGCACTCCAGGAGGCCCAGAAAAGGAAAGACCGTCGGTACCGTTTTCCACCTCTGACAAAACGCCGCCCCCTGACCCCATCCCTCCCCCTCCCCACCCTCCTGGGGCGGGGCTGCGGCGGGCGGCGCCCGCGCCGGGCGACAAGGACAACGACGACGACGACGACGACGACACGACGACGACGACGGCGACCACGACGACCACGACGACCACGACGACGACGACGACGACGACGACGACGACGACGACGACGACGACAACCACGACGACGACGCCGCCGACGACGACGACGACGACCACGACGACGACGACGACGACGACGACGACGACGACCACGACCACGACCACGACGACGACGACGACAACGACAACGACGACGACGACGACGACGACGACGACGACGACGACGACGACCACGACCACGACCACGACGACGAAGACGACGACAACGACCACGACGACGACGACGACGACGACGACGACGACGACGACGACCACGACCACGACCACGACGACGACGACGACGACGACGACGACGACGACGACGACGACGACGACGACGACGACCACGGCGACCACGACGGCCACGACGACCACGACGAGGGCGGCGGCGCCGCCGCCGTTACCCTGCGTAGGGCGTCGAAGGGCCGCCGAAGGGCCGCCGAAAGGCCGCCGAAGGACCCCCGAGGCCGGCGCGGCTGCGGCTGCGGCCGGCGCAGCTGCTGCGGCTGCTGCTGCCGTGCCGCCTGCCGCCGGGGTCGCCGCCGCCGCAACGGTCGTGGTCAGTCGTGGTCGTCGTCCTCGTCGCCGCCGCCAGCGTCGCTGCCGCCGCCGTTGACGTCGCTTTCGTCGCCGCCGCCGCCGCCGCCGCCGTCGATGTCGTCGTCTTGGCCGTTGACGTCGTCATCGTCGTGGCCGTCGTCGGTGGGGGGAGGAGAAGCGGAGGAGGAGGAGGAGGAGGAGGAGGAGGAGAAGGACGAGGAGGAGGAGGACGAGGAGGACGAAGAAGAGGAATAGGAGGAGGAGGAGGAGGAGGAGGAGGAGGAGGAGGAGGAGGACGAGGAGGAGGAGGAGGAGGAGGAGGAGGAGGAGGAGGAGTGGGGGGCAAGAAAGAAAGTAGGTCGGCAGGGGTCCTCCCGTAAAGGTCTGCACGTTGAGCCCGCGGGCACGGAGCCACAAGCAGGGGGCTGCAGGGCCGAGGAGGCGGCCGCAACGGCTCCGCGGCGCCCACCCAAGAGATGGGCAGGCAGTGCTGTGAGTGGATGGGACGGAGGGGGAAGGCGAGGGGCAGCCTGCGTCCACCTGGCCCACTCAGTGGAGAGCAGAAGCTCCACCCTCATACTAGGCGCCCCGACAAGCGAAGCCGTTCAACAAACGCGCCCAAGGAAGGAATCGAACCGGGCAGGGTTGTTTAGTAAACACCCAGGGCCGCTTGGCAAGCGAACATTCACGGGATCGGGGAGGTTCTTCCTCTCTTGACTTAAGCTCACTTTCGAACTCCGGTCCTCACGCAAGAGAGATTCCCAAGGATTCCGCCATCACATAGTGTAATGCAATGAGGATGGCACGCCCTTTGCTCCTGCAGACGCACGCAACAACAAGGAGCACGAGAGCGCGAACTGGAGGCACAATTTCCCGAATACCGCGAGCCGCGCCTTGATCCGAGGAGTGAACGCAGAGGGGGGGAAGGAGGGGAAGGCCTGGAAAGAGGCGCCTTGCGAAGACCTTCGGCGGCAGAGCCCCCCGCACGCACTCCCAGCCGCCCCACATTGACGCGGCACGCAACTACGGGACTGAGAGGACGGAGGGGTCACCCCTAGGAACAAGGAGGCGTTGTGTTTCCCGTGCAAGGCCGCCTTTGCCTGCTCGAGGAAGGCTCCCAGCGCAGCCACCTCGATATAGCTTCGCCTAACCGCAGGCACAAGAGCGCCCTGGCACAAGTCTCCCTGCCAGGGGGCGCTTCCTTGCCGCTCTCTTGCTACTCAGGGAACTGGTCTTCGCGCAGGCGGCGAACACGTGAAAGGTGGGACTGCTGGTGATGATTCCGTAGCAGCAGCCCTGGCGGCGAACCCACGAACGGCACGCTTCCGATGTGGGTGAGACGCACGAGGCAGAAGCGAATACTCGCGAGCGCCCTCTGGCCCCAGCTTGTCCCCAAGGATAAGGCAGAAGGCAGAAGGCCTGGGCCAAGTCGCGCTGGGCCCCCCCCTCCCAGGAAGAGATAGGGGAGCGAGCGCGTGCGCGCGATGCCTCCCACTTGAGCTCCGCCCCGTCAGTGCGAGAGCAGCAGATCTGCAGCTGGATCCCCGCAGGAGCCCCCAAGGGCCCCTGGGGTGGGAAGCTCGCTGCAGCAGCCCGTCAAGGGAAGGGAGCATGGGGGCTGCGCACAGGCCATCGATCGCATCAAGGACAGATGGCTCAGCAGCCCAAGCCTTACCCCGGTCACTCGCGAGGGTAGGCGAGGGTGATGGGCCTGTTCTCCACAGGAGGAGGAGGAGGAGGAGGAGGAGGAGGAGGAGGAGGAGGAGGAGGAGGAGGAGGAGGAGGAGGAGGAGGAGGAGGAGGGGCGGAGGTGGAGGAGGAGGAGGAGGAGGAGGAAGAAGGAGGGCGGAGGAGGAGCAGGAGCAGGAGGAGGAGGACGAGGAGGATGGCGGAGGAGGAGGAGGAGGAGGAGGAGGAGAGGAGGCGAGGAGGAGCAGGAGGAGGAGGCGGGGGAGTACGAGGAGGCGGAGGTGGAGGAGGAGGAGGAGGAGGAGGAGAAGGAGGCGGAGGAGGAGGAGGAAGAAGAAGAAGAGGGGGAGGAGGGAGAGGAGGAGGAGGAGGAGGAGGGAGGAGAGCAGCAGCAGCAGCAGAAGCAGAAGGAGGAGAGGAGAGGAGGAGGAGGAGGAGGAGGGGGGAGGGGGGAAAAGGGGAAAGGAGGAGGAGGAGGAGGAGGAAGAAGAGGAGGAAGAGGAGGAAGAGGAGGAGGAAGAGGAGGAGGAGGAGGAGGAGGAGGAGGGGAAGGAGGAGGAGGAGGAGGAGGAGAAGGAAGCAAAAACTCTGGGGCCGCAGCGGCGCGGCACCACGCAGCGGCCAGGGGCAGCCGAAGGGCACCACGGGGCCCCATTGAGCCCAAACTGGAGAAGGAAGGGCGCGGGCGGGGGGCCCTCCTCCCTCCTCCGAGAGAGGCCGCGGGCGGCGGAGCCCGCTCGGGCGCACGACCCCCACGGGGCCAGACGCCCCCCGCCCACGAGCCCAAGGATCCAGAGGCTGCTCGGCTGACGCCGCGTTGCGGCCCCAGGGCACCGGCGGTGGTGCCAGGCTCTGGCATCAACCACCTCTCGGTGCGCATCGGTGCTGACGCTCGACGGACCGAGCACCCTCCCGCCCAGCCCAGGCCTGCCCCAGCCGCCCCAGCACCGCCCAAGGGAAGGCGGAGGGGAGGGACGGAGGGAGAGAGGGAGGGAGGGAGGGAGGGAGGGAGGGAGGCAGGAAAGGAGGGAGGGGAGGGGCCCGGGGAGAGGGGGGGCGGGACGAGGAAGGCACCCGCACACGGCGCCAGAGGCGCGCGGATGGAACGGCCTGCTGGTCGTGCTTCGCAGCGGCTACGTTCTCCGACGGCGGCCCCTGCAGCACCACCTGGCGCTCGGGGGGGATCGGGTGCGGCGACCACCGCCCTCGGGCACCTCTCCCGTGCCTGCACGCGAGGCGACGAAGAAACAAAAATCTGCCGACCCATTCGGCGCGTGTGAGACGCCGTCGTCGTCTCCGTCGTCGCCGCCAGCCCCAAGAGAGACAGGAACGAGCAGAGAAAGGAAGCGTCGCTTTCCCCCTCCCTGGCGGGGGGGGTAACTGCGGGGCGGGGGGATACAGGGGTCCGGGGGGAGAGAGCAGGGGGGAGGGTCCCCTCCCCCTCCCTCCCCCCTCCCCTCTCACTCACCCCCCCCCTCCCCCCTCCCCCCCCGTTCCTCCTGGCGGGTCCCAGGGGGGGGCCCCCTGTGGACAGGGGGACAAGGGGACCACCCCCTGGGAGGTCCCGCCTGTGATAGGGGGGGGGGGGTCCTGGGTCAGAATGTCGAGCCCTTTGCAGTCCCGAAACGGTGCGGTGACAGACCGTGCGGTGGCCTCGAAATCCTCCAAGACCTCACCGCACGGGCCGTCAACGCACGGCTTTGGGACCTCGGATGCCCCAGTCGCCCGAGACGCCCTCGGAGAACGACCCGAGTCCCAAAACCGTGCAGTGACCCCGAATCCCCGCCGACTCACCACACGGGTGTGGTCACTGCCCCGTTCAGGGACCCCCGAACCCCCCCCCCCCCAGAGTCCCAGAGGGTCCCCGGGGGGGGGGGCGCCAGCGGGAGTCCCAGGGGAGGTCCCGCCTTGGGTCGGCGGCACCAGCCGCAAGGCCGTCACAATACCCGGTGACGCACCCAACCCGTCCGAGGCACCTGCCAAGATCAGCAGGCTGATCCCTCATGGGTCCGGATACGACAAGGGCGAACATACATACGAAAGTGTATACACGTCTGCAAGCATACATGCATGCTCACATGTGCATGGATATGCCGTGCAAAAAAAGTGGAGGCCATGCTCGTCGATCGCCCCACGTGACAGACTCAAGACAGCACCACAGAGGATATGACGTGGGGGGGGAAGACAGACGGACAACGAGGACCATGAGAAGGGGGGAAGCCATGAGAGCAGGGGAAAGCATGTCGGCGAAGACTAAGATGATGGCAAGCGAAACACAGTGGACGGCATGGAGGGCGAGGAGGAAGGGGATGCGGTGTTAACGAGGACAGAGCAGCAGGGGGGAGGAGGAGGACGAGATGGAAGGAGGAGGGCCAGGAAGAGCGAGGACGAGGAAGAAGAGGTACGAGGATGAAGGCGGGGCGATGAGGACGGGATGCGACGCGCCGATGATGAATGAAGCTTCGCCACGCCACCCTGACTGTTCCAAAGCGCAGTCACTGTTCGTGCAGAAACCGAGCAAGGCGAGTCCGAGACCTCCTCCGCCCGAGAGGCTCCCTGCTGCAAAACCCTCGCCGGACGTCGAATGACACGCCTCGCTGTCGTCTTGGACGGACAACTCGAGCTGCACGCCGACCCATCCTCCCTCCGCCTCCTCCTACTACTCCTCCTCCTCCTCCTCCTCCTCCTCCTCCTCCTCCTCCTCCTCCGCCTCCTCCTCCTCCTCCTCCTCCGCCTCCTCCGCCTCCTCCTCCTCCTCCTCCTCTCGGCTGTCGTTTCCCTTGCGAGTGGCAGCCGCCCGGCAGTTGTGAGCTGAGACTCGCGCCTTCGAGCAGGGCCTAACCGAACTTCCTCCTCCTCCTCCTCCTCCTCCTCCTCCTCCTCCTCCTCGGCGTCCTTCGCTCCCTGGTCCTGCTTACTCGAAGCGAACCCCCCATGAGCTAACGACAGCAGCGACAGCTGCGCAATTGGCAGCAACCAAATACGTGCGAACTTGCGGGTCCGAAGGACAACCGTGTGGCACAAATCCACTACAGCCGTGGGTCCGATGGACAACCTCTGGTTCTGGCCAATACGCGCGACAAAGACAAGTCTCCGACGCAACCCCTAATGGTTCCAAAACGATAGCAGACGTCTCCAAGATCCCTGGATGGCTCCAAGGCGGAGGAATAAGAGAGGAAAGGGCAAGAGCGACAGTCACGCTGTTGGCAACACCCAGGGCGAAGAGGTCCAGCTCAAATCCCGTTACGACGTCGCTCCGCTGCACCTCTCAGGAGCTCACGAAAGTAGCGACGGCTGCGCAGTTGGCAGCCCCCAGGGCGAGGGTAATCCTTTGAATTTGCGTGAGGCCCCAATCCGCGGTCCGCCCAGGAGCTCACGAGAGTGGCGACGGTTGCGCAGTTGGCAACGCCTGAAGAGCCGAGGTCCAGCTTGGGTGCTAGGAGGACGACACTCCGCTGGACCTCAGGTGCTCACGAAAGTGGCGGCAGCTGCGCACCATTGGCAAGGGAGGCGAGGTCTCGTTTGAGCGCCCCAGAGCCTGTGCTCCGCTGGACCTCCCGCAAGCTCACGAAAATGGCCACAGTTGATCAGTCGGCAGCAGTGGCCAGCGCCCAGGAGGCGAGAAATCAGAAGATAGGAGGCAGATACGAGCTAGGAGGCAGGGGCAAGACGGGAGGTTACAGGATTACGAGCCAGGA